TGCGTCATTTTATTTTTAATAGCTTAAAAACATAGTGTTGAAGCAACTTCTTTAATCAAACTATCCAATCATATACCCAACATATCCTTGGCACATGCAAGAAAACGGAGATACATACATTTTTTATATAATCTGACAATGAGATAGAAAATAGATCTTTATTAATTACAAGACACAACTCAACATTTATACCCTCACGAAGATTAGGTATGTGAATCTTATTACTACTCTTTGATACTAAAAGGTCTTTGAGCTCATTAGTCTCTTGTTGAATAATAATGTCACTAAATTTTTCACTATAAATGTTATTAATGGATTCATCCTCAATTTGTAATTCAGGACAAAAACCACTCTCACTTCATTGACCATTATCAACTTCTTGTTTTTGTATTAATGTATTAAACATGTCTTTTATTTCTTCAATATCTTGGCTTATTTGGACATTGAAAGCTAGTTGGATTTACATAAATTCATTAAAAATATTCTCCAATCTCCCTTCTTCTAAGTCATGGTATGAGAGATATTGGAGAGGCTTTTGTGGTGGTGTAAGATGTATCGATAACTGATAATGTTCATTCCTCCAACTAAATTTAGGATAAAAAGTTTCAAAACAATTGTTAGGTAAGGTTGAAAAAAATTAGGTAATATAATTGACCCATCCCTAAAAAAATTTTGTCTCGTTGGGATTAAAAGGCACACCTCACTAGAATACCCAAACACATCACAAATCACATATAGTTCCTCTGTAGGGAAAAACACTTAACACTTCATTAAAATAATCTAAAAACATACAAATAAAAATTATAAAAAATCTAACCTAAAGGAGAAAAAAAATAAAAAATATAGGAGAAGAGATTACTAGATTTGTGACGAATCTAAAATCTAGCAAACCTCAATAGATGGAAGTACGTTCCCTGTCTTCAAACAACTCCCCAGTAATAGCATCAAAAGCTTGCTACAACTTCAGAATTGATCACCCAAGTGCAGGTTGTGCAAAGTAATAAAGTTCTTGGGAGTTCGAGATCGAACCACAGGGAATAATGAAAAATAAGAGACACAAAACAAAACAAAAAAAAAGAAATTATTTACAAAATTTTTTAGTAGGATTTTATCCAAAAGAACAACAATGGGTTGATTAAAATAATATTTGAACTATTAAAGTATCGGGGATATCCTTTTAAATTTATACAGTAATTATTAATGATCCAATTTTTAAACTCAACTAAAAAACAGCTACTGAGTAATCGCAATCGGATTATTTAACGGTGATAATATGAAAGCATCAAAAGTTATAATTAATGAATTATCTAAATATATATATATAAATTTACTTGTAGATCACAAGCATTAACCGTGCTCGGAATCTATGATAAATCAAACTTTTCAACAGATAAACCCTAATTTTATTGAAAATAATAAATCAAATATTTTATGAAAAATTCTAATTAATTAATTCAAGCATTGAATAACCAGTTATTTGACTCATATAAAATCTTAGGCATTCGATGTTCGTGGGACAAACGAATCAAGAAATTATACAGAGTAAAAACTTTATTAGAAGATAAAAATTAAATTAAAAGAATAAATCAAGCATTAAAAACATTGAATTAAAAATAAAACTAAAACTAAAAAAAAAATATGAGAAGAGAATAATAATCATCTATCAATAGGTGAAAGCCTTTATGTATACTAAAATAAATTCTAGGTATAGGTAGAAGATATATGGTTGTCTTGGGAGGAATTCATTTCCAAAAAGAAGTTTTTTAAGGTTAAATCCTTGCATAAAATATTGGGAGTGCAGGTAAAAAATTTGCTTAGACTTTGAGATCAAAATTTTGAATAATTAGAGGTTGATTCATGAAATTTTCATGAAACACACTTTATAGCCCCTTAATTCTTCTTTCCAACTCCACAAAAATCAAGTCAATTGGATTGAAAACAAAAGTTATGATCAAAATACTGAACATGTGTCAAATATTTATCTTCTAGAATATTTTCCTAATCCCACTTTAAATGAGTTTTCTTCTAACTTTGACTCTTATAAGAATTAAATTGATACTTTATCTTTAAATCTTCATTTCTTTTTCTTGACTCTTTAACCCTTATCAATTATAATTATTTATCTAGCGATTACTTCACTTGTCTTATCGATTTTTAATTTAAATCAACTAATTTACCTATAAAATAAACCAAACTACTAGAAAAAGTATCAAACTAGAAAATTAAGGAATCTAACACATTTAATCATAAAATAATATACAATTACCAATTATTAAACATAATAAAATATCACATTTGATGGTTAATCATCAGCCTACCTTTTTTACTTGTTTATTGCTTCCTAGCAATTTTACTTCTCCTATAATCATCACTATGGTGATCTATTACTACTTTCATTCAACGCTAAGTTCAATATTTGTTTTGTCTTCCAAATTCGAATTTAATTTATATGTTACGTTGCATTCTCACTGTTTACTTCACAGTGTCGGTCATAGGTTTCTATTTGGTGAGATTATTTAAAGTCCTTGAGCTCTAATGCACAAAAAAGAACTCAGAGATAACCTTACGTCTCGATACATTTGCCTGGACAGTCATGATTTTAGAACCCCAAATTGGTTCGAGTAGATAAGGTCATATATGTTTGGATTTTAAATTCACCTAGATTCCCTTACATCGCAGGATCCATAGGGTTTGAATTTGAACTTCCTTCAACATGATTAGCATTGCTAGGCATAGCCTCCATGTGCTCGTTGCATGATGTTCCAATGACTCATTCAGCTTGCTCCTTTGTTAACACCATATTTGATCTAAAGTTAGTAACGTTGTCTCACCAGGCATGCCAAAAAATGGTTGTCTCCGTAAAGGATTTCTCTTGCAATCTATGAACTTAATCTTTTCTACAGAGAGATCTCTTGCGGCTGCATGATGTAAGGTTCAATTGTCTTGTCTAAGGACTTTCTTGGATGATCACAATCGACAGCTTCAAAGTAAGCAGAATGACAATAAAATGATTAACAAAAGGAAATACACTTTTATTAATCTTGAAGGTTTCTTATAACAGAATGATGAAATAGCCTCTTAAACTAATCATAACTCTAAATCTAGTCTAAAACTATTTTTAAAATGCCCAAGTCGTGGGTCTTTAATGGGTTTGATCGCGTCTATCTCTTTGTAATTAATTCCCCTTTTATATGCATCTTCCTATCAACAGCTACTCTGATTTTCTTCAAGCAGTTTCCCCTCCAATTTCTCCCTTATTTCAACTACTGATTCAAATTCATGGATCTCATTTGATGTTTAAAATTACTAACTTTTCAAATATCAAGATAACCGTTTTATTCCCTCCTTTATAGAGGTTGTAATTGTTCCTAAAGTCAAACAGGCCATATCGACTAGTTCTATATCAATGTTTGATTAAATGAATGTTAAATAGCAAATTTCTTTGGCTGACTTTATTTAGTGGACACAAGTCATTCATCTCTCTCCACTAAAAATGTAAAATTTGGTCCAAACAAACACAAACAATTTTTAAGTATAAAATATACATAAATCATCATAAAATGAAACCTTACCAAACATTTTTTGCTACATGGCTACTAGGAATCTGTGTTGGTGGCACTGTTAATTCAAAATTTTGATACCACTTTACCCTCATTTTTAGTTCATTCTCAATTTACCACTAGTTTCATAAATAGATGGTTTTTGTAATATAGAATTATGTTTGAAGAACACATTTTAAACAAAATAAATAGAAAAGTCTCTTTTGACAAAGGAATATTATAAAACAAGTTTTCTATAATACGACTTCTTGTGCAAACGCATTCTTTTCCCGAAAACTCAAGTTTAATTCACCCCGTTGTATAGTGAGGGCCGGTAAAAATAAAAACATGAGTTTTAGGCCCCAATATGAAAAAAGTTTCAAATTTAAAAATCAATAATATAATATAAATTAAAAAATAAAATTGACTATAATATAGCCTAATAAAATAATTTTTAAAAGAGTAAATCCATAAAAAAAAAATTAAAAATTTGGGTCCAAAAGTCCAAACCACCTCACACAATCACATTTATTAGAGAATAAAAGAAATTAACAAAAAAAAGTGCTGATAAAATTTATATCTTTCTTCAATCTAAAGAAATATAATAAACATCTCTTTTTAGTCAAAAAAAAAAAATCAAACCAAACACATTATCTATTTCTATAAACTTGTTTTTTTTTTTCTCATCTGAATGCAAAGCACCAATTAAACCATTTATTCTTATTAAAAAATATTTTGATAGAATTCTTCTTCATAACAAATAAAATATAATAAAAATTTAGGTGAAAGTTATATAGATAAATAAGTAAAATTCAAAGATATGATTATTTTTAAAAGAAAGATAACAATGAATTTATTTATAATAAAGTCAATAATTTAATACCACAATTTTCATAAAGAACATATAAAACAAATAAAAAGAATATAAAAATATTAATGAAGAAATTATTCCTATAAATATTAATGATCAAAAGTTATATTATTAATCAAAATAATATATTAGCAAAAATTTGAATAAAAAACATAATTAGCAATTTTAAATCTCATCAAAAAATAAAAATGATAAATTTTAAATTAAAAAATAAAAAAAGTGTCATTGGCCGTCATTATTTTATGTGTCAAATGTTATTGACCCACCCAGCAAACATTAAATTAAATAATTAATTAAAAACAATGATATTTTAAATCTTATAACATTGCCACGGGTTAAAAATTCGACCTACTCCTAGACGTTTGACAAGAAGTATGGGCCCACATCGTTACAAACATCAAACCAAAAAGTTCAATTTTGACCGATTGATCTGTACAACTGCCATGAACTTTCACTATCATTATTATAGTCGTGTCAGAAACTGAATCAACATCAAATAAAAAAACCAACAAAATTCAAATGACCATAATGCCCTTTCATATCCAAAAATCAATAAAAAAATAAAGACAGAATGCCTCATCTTATTAATCATGGTCCCTTGTAATTAAAATATAAATATTTATAGTGAAATCACTAGTCACTAGTTTATAAAAAAGCAACAAGAAATTAATAAATAATTAAAAAAAAAAAAAAAAAAAGCCGAGTACCGTTAATCTATCAAGTCTCACTCTAACAGCTCTTCCTTACCACCCTCCCTAACCGTATAACTACCCTGCCAAAGGATTGAACCTATTTACACCATATATATCCAAGACAAACTAAGATATGCCAATGGTATCCCCGTGCTCATACACCATCCACCACCAATGAAATATTACTTGGCAACCAGTCTCCATTGCTCCGGCTGTCGGAATCAATGTCGAGCTCGAGCCGAACAACTGTAGATTCATCAGATGAATCAAGAATGCTGGAGGGTAGGCGCGCCTTCAGTTTTTGGAAGCTTGGAACTAAGACTTTATCTGCCCACTCTGTTAAACTGGTTTGGCCATGACATATTCCGCCTAGGATCTTCTCAAGGCTATCATTTTCTACTTCTATGGAGAGACTGCCGTCTAAAACAGTCGAGAAACTCTTCGAAATTGTGTTTTTTATCTCGTGGCAAACGGAGCCAAACTCCAAAGGCTTGAAGACAATTGTCCCATCGACAGAACTGGCCAGCTCATGAAGCACTGATGCTATCGCAAATGGTCTATTCTCGAAGGCAAGCTCATCTTCATGGTCAATGGTGAAATCACCGGAACTATGAGACCCACCTGTTCTAAAATCCTCGGTAACAGCTGCTTGATTAAGATCAAACGACAGGCCGGAAACCATTTCTTTCCTAGGCCTGGTGAGCCTGTCTTCTTCATCATGAACCCAATTGGCACGGCGCTTTCCACTCTTTTCACCTATTGTTAGCCTTAACTGCCAACCGTCACTTGCTAAAGAGGCAAGCTTTTTTTCAACAAGCAATTGCCTTTTCCCTGAACTTTTCAGATTAACTGGCGACCAATCCCCGGTAAGTATGAATATAATGTTACTGAGACTTATCTCACGGCCATGAGAGTCGACGAGCCGCCCCCTCTCCATTGCACGTTTGATGCTCCCACGGACAAGCATATCTGCTTCATTGAAGTCCTCAAGCATAATTAATGAAAAAGGGTTTCTCCTAACTGCCTCAGCAATCCGATCTAATGCTGTTTTACCACGGATATTCACATCTGATTCCCTCTCATCACGTCGCGAGCCAAAACATATCATTATGGGACTCTCCCCACATACCTGTTCTGAAAGGACTGATGCCATCTTCTTCATGCCAACCCTGTCAGGACCTGTAAATAATAGCCATATGTCACCTTTTGATCCAGCAACATGCCGTTTTCCATTGCCCAATTTGCACTGTGTCACAGCTGTAGCCACATTGGAAGCTGCTTCTGGCTGCCACCAAGCTTTCTCCATTAGACCCTTGAGGAGTTTCTTGAAGGAGTCAGCATCTGACGCCTTAGCAAACTTGATACTCTCCATCAGACCTTTAGTTTGTGGTTCAGAGGAGATGCAGCCCAAAAAGTCTTTAATGTGCCCCTCCTGTGTTTTCTCCGGGGTTGCTTCAGCAACTTTGGGAGTCCCAAGAATAAGGTCTGTCCTCACAGGGCTTCTGGGAAGGCTACCTATATGATCTGAAGGTTGGCTGGCCACTTGATTTGAGTTCAACTGCAGGGTTCCACCAAGGTGTCTAGTCGGTTGCAATTCGGGCTGGAAAGGTTGACGTACAAGCAGGTTTGGATTATTTAAGCCTGCCATTGAAAGAGTTGTTGGAGCAATTCTCTCAGGCCTGAGGTTATGATGAAAATTAGGATGCAGAGTCGAACATTTATTGCTCCATTTCTTCTGTAATTCTTGAGACTTCTGTCTGAAAATCAACTCTTGATCCTTGCTCTGCCAACCCAAGAAGAAACAAATGAATTGTGGTTATTCATATAAAAGCTGACCCCTTTATACAAGCACTTCATGACAACATACCTTTGACTGATCAGCTGTTTTACCATCGCTATTATGGAGTTTGGCATTTTGCAACCACTGTGGTAGGGGTGGTTTAGTTGCTTCTGATGCTACTTCAGAAGATGTTTTCAATTCCTCGGCTACTAGTTCTGCTAGCTCTTGTTCATAATTATTTGAACATTGTGGGCAACAGTTCACTCTTTGGGCAGGATCCAAATTCCCAGAGACAGGTCGTGGCAGAGCAGGTGATGCAGTCAGAAATCTCTTCAATGGGTTCAAAGATCCCATCAAAGGGCTCACAATTCCATTTGTCCCCAGCCTAAATGGAAAGAAACAGCGACCAAATGATACCAAAACACGGAAAGAATAAACAATTTAAGTGCTTAATATAACCAGGTTTCTAAAGTTGTTTGATGTTCAATCATTTAAGATCCTGACACTTGAGATGGAGCAATTAACAAAACAGAACAGGAAACAAAAAAATTCACCCAATAGCAAGACAAACTTCAATATTCTCGACCCAAAGGAAGAAAAAACAAGTGAGACTGAGATAGAAGTAGATAGTATTGGAGATATTGCCAATTCGAAAAGAGAAGAACCATGCCTTGTACCAAATGTACAGAAATTTCTCATATCCACTATGCATGCTAATAACAAATATAACTCTAGTTTCTATCTGACACATATTACATTAAGCATCAGTTCAGCTGAATCTACCAAATGGGTGACAAAGAATCTACAGAAAAAAACTGTTCAAAGAATAATTTCGAAAAAAGGAGAGAACTATAAAATTTCAACAACAGAAAGTAAGGATCCTAAAGCCTATGTTAATATGCAATTTAATATGAGCTGTGAGTTCAATCATTTAACCAAAGCAGGACATCATAGTGATATTAACACCAAAATATACCAAATACAAAGTATTCAAACATGAATTTACTAAGATACAATCTTTTCCCAATTAAAACAATCATTTCCAATAAATATTATGATCAAATTAATGCAATATTGCCTAACATACCTAGGAAACATCCCCGGAAGAGGCGATCTTGAAGCAATTGACACTGCCTGCAAATCCCAATCATCTTGCATCGTAGGATGATAAACCTGGCACCTCAAATAAGTCTCGCAAGTAGCAGTTCCAATAATCCAAATCCCACCATTACCCCCCTCTCCAATCCTCCCCAAAATCTTTCCCATCTCCACAACCGCCACCCGCCCCACCTCAGAAACCACCTGTTGCTGCACCCCACCACCAGGGGCCGGAACACTGAAACTCACAGGCTGCTCAACAAGCCATTTCAAATCACCCAAGTCAACCATAATCCCAATACCACCATTAGAACTCCCAATTTTAGTCTCAATTAGCCCTCCCAACTCCTTAATTTTCGAGGGTATTTGCGCTTTATCCAGTACAAGCTCTTTCTCAATCGAAATCACCTGAACATTCTTAAGTGGCCCTTCTCCCAATTCCCCTTTCTCAATCCTCCTCAACAGTTCCTTCATCACAGCCTCTGGTTCACCCTCCCCCACCAGAACTGGATTTCTCTTCTTGGTTCTCAACAAAATATCAATAACCTTTTTCACTTCCTCATTCCTTTGATTCCCCGGTTGCGCCGCCGGATTCACCTGTTGCAACCGGGGATTCAAATACAAATTCCGATTCGGAATCGGCATAGGTGTTGGGTTTGGCCTAAACCCAATTCCTAATGTTCCTTGATTAACATTCCCGGAGCTTGAATTCAAAGATTGCTCAATTGTAGCCTTCACAGCAGGACTTGAAAAGCTAGCTTCTCTCATAACTCTACTCACACTGGGGTCATCAAGAATTGATATAATTAGCTGTTCAAGCTCAACTTTCACAGCTAAAAGAGGCTGTTGTTGCTGTTCAGGACATCCCCGCCGTTGATGAGCTTGTGCTCGCTTTAACGCCGCCATTAATGCGTTAGAAATCGGCGGTTCCGTCGCCGGTGACGTATTCTGAGCTGTTGGTAGTCTCTCAAGAGCCACCGAAAAGCAAAGCTCCAGAGCTCGGCACTGAAGAGGGTGTGATGAGTTTGGGTGTGAACGAATACATGCTTGCCGGAGAAACCCCGTCGGAGATAACAAAAGTGTCGCCGCCACGTGAAGCGGCGTCGTTTGGCCGTGGTTCCGCCGACCCGCTTCGGCGATCGAGTGGTTCAATACACTCGCCGCCTCTGGGGTCAGGGTTTGCTGGATCGTACTCAATCCAGCTCTCATATCCAATAATTATAGAAGAAATAGACACCCTATAATTAATTTCAGGGAATTTCAGGAATACCCGGCTCTTATTTCTTGAATTGAACTCAAAAAACTGATTAATGAAAGGTGCGAAGGGTGAGAGTTTGGGAGATGGGAAAAGCTTTCCAGGAAAATGAATGAATTTCTAAGCTGACACAAGGTTCTAATCCGACCCAATAATTCAAAACTGAAGAAACTTAACTTTACAAACAACAGAAAGGAAAATAAAAAAGGTCTTATTCTAGTCGATAGCCAAAAGGTTTGCTTTGCTTTGCTTTGGTTTACCTATAGGATCTATATCTAACTTTCTCTCTCTTTCTTTTCTTCTGTGTTGTGTGAGTCACACAAAAAGCTTCATACGAATTGAAGGCGAAAAGGAGAGATCAGACCTCCTCCTTCACAAAAACAAGCTTTTTCTCCCCATTTTTCCTCCCTTCTCTCTCTACAAAACTCTGCCTTTCTCTCTCTAAAAGACGATGATAAAAGCAAAGAACACTTCCACCGTCTCTTTCTCATTCCGCAATAATAACAAAAAATTTCCAACACCCGGATGAAAAACTTGTGTAATAATGTAAAAAATAATAATAATAATAATAAAAATTTATTAAAAAATCAACTTTGCATGTGTATTACAGGCTACGGAACAAAATATGAAGGCGAGGAGAGGTGAATTCTTGTTTTAGGTGGCGGTGAGGGGAAGGTATGGAGAATGGCAATGTTTGTTTTTATTGTGAAGAGAGAGGAGAGAGAAAGTGAAAGAGAATTTATGGAAAAATAGGAAGGTATGGAAGTACTTTCAGTTGCAAGGATTTCTGGAAAAAAATGCTTTGTGGGCATTTCAACCTGCTCTCCTTTTTGTGTCATCTGTTGTTCTTTTTATTTGTGATTTCATTTTTTTTTAAATGTGATCTTTTGTCTGTACACTGAAAAAAGAAAAAAAAGAAAAGAGAAAAGAGAAAAGAGAAGAGAGAGATGAGAAGATTCATGAGCGTTTACATTAGTTTAAGAGTTCTCTTTACTTTTTCTTATCTCTGTTTCTATGACTACGGATTGACTGCCTTTTTAGCTCTCTTATGTTTTGTTTACTTCAAAAGTAGCTAATCCTCTCTCTCTCTCTCTCTCTCTCTCTCTCTCTCTCTCTCTCTCTCTCTCTCTCTCTCTCTCTCATTATTATGATAAATAGTGAAGATTACTTCTGAAAAAGAGATTCGACTTTAGTAGTGATATTGACAAAAGACTTGTATTTTGGATTTCTTCTTTTATATATTGAATTGATTGGCTTCACTGCATCACCTAATAATATAAGAGATATTATTTATGAAATTATGTTATGTACGAGACTAGAAACAAATAATCCAAACAGAAAAATAAGATTATGTGACTTACTAATAACAATTAATTGCAAAACTTTACTAGATAAAAGTTAATAACAGTTCTCTAAAAGGCTACTAAAAGTACTAGTGACAAAATTACTCCAAATTTCTAATATTAATCTCAATTGAATATCTTTATTTTCTTATGATATCAAATAAATATTAAAAAAATAATTTTTCAAAAAGCTCTCACACAATTATTTGGATTTGATTTCAAGAAGCCCTTCTCAAAACTTCAAGGCTATGATACTAAAATTTTTCCATTCTATATCAAAAAATAGATATTTACTTCATTTATTTACAACCATTTATCATACAACTACACGTGTCACACTCTCCTTAATTAAGAAGAATAAAGTACATTATGAAAATTTATTTTTTTGATAATATAATTAATTGCACCCCAAATTTCAAGTTTGAATGGATACAAACGCACACAAAGTATAAGATACCACAAATTACTATGCTACTAAAGGTGGTACTGTATCGTCGCTTACTACTTTTTTTTGTAAAGTTATAATTTAAAAGAAAAGAATTACAATTGTTCAAACGAAATTCATGATCAATTAAGAGGACCATGATTGATCACAAATACACATGATCGATTATGGACTTCCCCTGAACAATTGTAAGTGTTCCCTTATGAGATATAACTTGATCTTTAAAAGTTATAATTTCGTTATCAATTCAAATTTATCATGATCAATCATAACCTTTAAAAATTATAATTTATATTTCAAAAAAGTTGTAATTTAACATTAAATAATTATAAATTTTGGTACGATACCCCCTTCGATACCATAGTCTTTCCCCATTGTTATATTAAGATCAAGAGTTTAAACTTTGTCATCATATTCCCAAAAAAAAACTCCTCGTCCCTCGCTGAAATAGTGGCCGACTGTAAAAAAAAAACTGTGTACCAACTTAAGGCCTGGATTAAACACGTGTGAACAAATGCTCAAACCCGTGTCAGATGAAGATGAGAAAATCCGTACTCCATGTTTTCCTTTAAACCAATTTTCTGCTTTTTGGACCACCAACTTTTACAAAGGCATCCGACGACTGTCACCTTCACATTCTTCTCTTTCTCTATCTAACTGAAAGATTAAAAACTTCGCTCAAAAATAATAACCTGTTGAGAATATTTTAAGAATAGGATAAATTGTACAAATAGGCCTTAAGATTTATCATTTATTGGACTTTATTCCTTATAATTTCAATTTTATTAATTTAGTTCTCAGAGTTCACACACTGCACTAAGTTAGTCTCTTCCACAAATTTTCATATAAATCATTCATCGAAAATAGCACATGCTTGGCATATAATGCTATTGAATTAAGTCTTTATACTAGCAAAATAAAGGGTGCAATTGTAATATCACATGTAAAATAAATAAATGAAATAACAATGTCATATATATGTTGATGATACACAAAATTGATTATACACAGTCAAATCAATCGAGTGTGTGGTGTAAAACAATTAATGAAAAAATTAGTAATAAAAGAAAAAGACTCAGCGGTTGGGTTTGGGTAACTTAACTACTGAATGCGGCAATAGCGGCTGGAAACCTCTGTTAATGAAATAGTATAAGATAATAGGAGAGAAAAAAGAGAGAGCAAAAGTACACTCAAGGTAAAACGTGTGAGATTTATCCCCATGTACAGAAAGTTTATAATTTATAGATACAGAACCCTAACTAAAGCAGTAACATGAAAGTCAAGGTACTAATTTATCAAGGAGGATATCTACAATTGGGGATGTATACTATCTTAGAGTAATGACTCACCCGATGATTGTTCTCTCACTTGTGTTGACTCTTCTTAAACTTTTGGGTTTTGGATTAAACTAAGGACATGAGCTAAATATGGCCTGCATTTTGATGATTTGAACTTAACTCATGAATTGAGCCTAGACATATATAGTTAGATTTGGGCTTTATCATATGTATTGAATATAATATAGACATATATATATATAACAAAAAAAATCTCTCTCCTCGGGTCTGTCTTACATGACATTTCACCTCAACACCAATGGCAACACTAACCGCCCACCACAACAATCGCCAATCACTACGATTCACTCGTTTCTCTCTCTCTCTCTCTCTTTCTCTCCCCACACACACACACTCCACCACCTCCATGTCGTGCTTAGTAGGCTTCCATGCCTAAACACCCCTCGCCGAGACCTCTCCCCCCTAAATATCTCTGTTTTTACCCTTATCCCCACTTCCAATCATTTCACCCCCTATGTAATTCTATTTTAGCTTTTATTTCAATTTTGGTTTCGAATATGAATTTTGAATTCAAACGATTTCGATTTCTTATTTCAAGTTTTTTTTCGATTTATGATTTCTATTTGGTTTATCATTCGATTTGTGATTTTGTATTTCTTTTTAAGTTTGGATGCTAATTGGATTTTCAAGCAATGGATCGGGTGACTGTATTGTTGGTGTTGGTTCTCTCAAGCTTGGGTTGAATGTGTTGAAATGTGAACCCTAAGATCCATTGATAGTGCATATAATTTGAATATAAAAATTATTTGTCAATTGTATAAGATAAAATTTGGGTTTACCTTTAACGATTAGATCACAAATGGAGACTAATGTAAATCGAATAACTGGTTTAATGGACCTCACGATCTTCTACCGTATGTCTTTCAACACCAAAAACTCGAATTTAGTGTAAGTTGCAATGCTCCTAATTTTCTCTGTTGCTCTCTCTCTCTCTCTCTCAAACTCTTCTAAACATGAATATAGAGTATAGTCGAGAGAACCATAAAAGACATTTATAGGTTACAGTAAAGACGCTGAAAAAAAATAAAGATTGGTCTTTCAATGGACGTAAGAATCCCATGTCCAACCTATAACAAACATTATGTGGTTCATTAATAATAAGTTAGTTCATTAAAAACTTATTATTAACCTTTCAGATCTTTTCTCAAATTATATTTTGAGTTCCTTGTTGTTATATACTTAATAATCTCTCAACGTTTAAAATTATATATATCCGTCAATTAATTAAATTATTAATAATTATATTTAATTGATTTTTTTTTATAAATTGAAATATTACCATTCAATTTATTTGTTATGTCGAATATATAAATCTATCTACAAAGTTTGATATAAACAAAACTTATGAGTTTCATCAAGAGGACATTATTAACTCATTTAAATACAGAGACATTATTTTTTTAAATAATTAATTTTCATCATACAAACAATATCATATTCTAATTCGTCGAGTTTGTTGAATCAAATATAAATCTCATTTTTAATGAATTAAAGTAACAATCATTATATGCATGTGATTTGTATATTCAATTATTACTTCATTTCATTTTCATAAAAATAAAAATGCTTCGGTTATTTCAATAAAAAAAATAAAGTTTTGATTTCAATTTCTATAGAAACAAGAACGTTTCTATTTTTTCTGTAGTAAAAAAAATAAATTTAATCATACTTTGTACTTATTCTCTCTCTCTCTTCACCGCGAGCGTGGCAAAGATATGGGCGATGTTTGTGTTAACTAGGCTCAAGTCTAGTTAAGACATTGTTTTCAAAGAAAAAAAAATTTAAGACATTGAAAATCAAAAGTGCCA